TCCCTTTTTTGAGGTCCACGGACCATTGTTTGACCTTGCTTCCTTGGGAAGAATTCACAGGGTCGTGAGAGCAGTTGTACCACAGGGCCAAGCTGGGAACATTCTGTGCTTAGGTATTCATAAGCTTTTGCCAAAGCTCTATTTCTCTTACTCCACCCCTAAGTACTAGTCACCACCTAAGTCAGTAACACCTGGTTGCCATAGAGAATTAGATTGTGTCAAAGCCCACACTTGACATTCCTTCTGCAAGGCGCTACCCAGCAGCGTTTTAATACCTTAGTTGGAGATAAGCCTTTTGACGCCATCCTTGACCTCTTATACTTCTATACATGCCTTTCTATACTGATAGGATAGTCAATGACAGGAAAATATTTACTGGACACTTACTATGCATTTAGCTCTGTGTAAAGATTGGGATTGGGATGTTGGGCAAGAGAGGATTATAAGAAAAGTGAGACATGACCCTAACCTTGGGGGCTTAAAACTTTGATACACACAAGAACACAACACTAGATCCTGAAGTGGCATAGACAATATGCCTCACCCAAATCACCGCCAAGTAATCAGCTCTCAGCTCCTTCTGGCAACCGTGGGGTGTGAGTCCAGTGAAACAGGATGTTCCACAAGGTGGCAAACAGACCAACATTTTGCTCACAGAGGTCACAGAAAATCTATGTTCCCCTGATCCTTGGGAACCAAAATGACTGTTCCATTTTTTCCTCTAACTTTTTATTTTCCAATACAGAAGAACAGAAAGACTAGTAGGATGTTTATAAACTCTTCACCTACATTCATCAATATTGGTGTATTTATTTACTATATCTTTCTGTATCATACATTCCCACCATATCCAACCTATTTGAAAGTCAGTTGTAGACATTAGTTATAACATCTACATATACTGGTATCTAAAAACTTCAACATATATCTTCTAAGAGTGGTAATTTCCTACCTTGAAAGAAATTGAACATTGATATAGTGTATTCACTTTTCCCAATTATCTACATAACAATGCTCTCTAGACTCTTCTCCTTTTTAAAAATTGAAATAAAGTCAAGGATTAGTCATTGTATTTGGGTGTCCTGCCTCTTAAATCTCTTTTACTCTATAACAGTACCCTAATCCCCACTTTTGTCCTTTCCTCATCCTGATGTTTGTGAAGACTGCAGATCAGTCATTTTGGAGAATGACCCACAATTTGGATTTATCTGATTATTTCCTCAGATTCTATTTCTTTTTTTTAATTATTGTGGTAAAATATCTGTATCACAAAATTCACATTTTAACCACATTTAAGTATATAATTCAGTGGTATTAAGTACATTAATAATGTACAATCATCATTACTACCACTATTTCTAGAATGTTTTTGTTATCCCAAACAGAAATTCCACATCCATTAAAGAATAACTCCCCATTTCGACCTCACCCCAGCTCCTGCAGTAGAACCATCATTCTACTTTCTGTCTATGACTTTGCCTATTGTAGGCACCTCATAAAAGAGGAATTTGATGTTTTGTGTCTGGCTTATTTCAGTTAGTATAATGTATTCAAATTTCATCCATGTTGCAGCATGTATCAGAATTTCTCTCCTTTTTAAGGCTGAATAACTTTTCTTGTATGTATATTCAACATTTTGCTTATCCATTTATCTGTTGATGGACACTTAAGTTGTCTTTAACTTTTGACTATTGTGAATACTGTTGCTATGAACATTGGGGTACAAGTATTTATTTAAGTCTCTGCTTTCAGATCTTTTAGATATATACACAGGAGTAGAATTACTGAATCGCATGAGATGTTTAACTTTTTGAGGAACTGCCATACTCTTTTTCTACAGCAGCTACATTCATTTTATATTCTCACCAGCTTCTAATTATTTTTTTAATTTAATGCACACATTTATTATATTGAGAAGAATTTATAATTTATTTATTTATTTATATGTATCCAAATACTTCCTCCCCGCCCCCCCCAAAAAAATAGTCAAAGAAATAATTATTTGTGCCGGGACCGGTTTGGCTCAGTGGATAGAGCGTCGGCCTGCAGACTGAAAGGTCCCGGGTTCGATTCCGGTCAAGGGCATGTACCTTGGTTACGGGCACATCCCCAGTTGGGGGTGTGCAGGAGGCAGCTGGTCGATGTTTCTCTCTCATTGATGTTTCTAACTCTCTGGGTAAAATCAATAAAATATATTTTTTTTAAAAAAAGAAAGAATTGTTTGTAAATTCCATGAGAATAATTGGTTAGAAAAAAAACTTTTAACTCTAGATAGAAAAGTTTTCTTTAGAAAACACCAGATCTCTCAGGAGTGCCTGAATGTTGAGCAGAGAATCTTTTGTTGAGTTATAGCTGTTCCACTTGTTGAAATTTCAGGGGAAGAGACCAAGGGGATCTCTGATGAGGTCACCTAACTCTTACAGCTTCCAATTCATATTTTTTTCAAATCCTCACCTGAGAGAGACAGAAAGAGAGAGGGGGGGAGAGAGAGAGGACATCAATTGGTTGCATCCCAACCAGTAATCAAGCCTGAAACCTTTTGGTGTGCAGTACGATGCTCCAATCAACAGAGCCACCCAGCAAAGGCCCAGCTTCTAAGGAGGTTTCCAATTTCTCTACATCCTTGCCAACACTCTTCTTTCTTTTTTTTACAATAGTCATCCTAATGGGCAAGAAGTGGTATGTCATTGTAGTTTTTATTTGCATTTCCTTAATGACTAATAATGTTGAGTATCTTTTAATGTGCTATTGAGAATATCTTTTTTGGAGAAATGTCTTTTCAAGTTGTTTATTCATTTTTGAATTGGGCTTTTGTTTTTTTGTTTTTAAGTTCTAGGAGTTTTTTTATGTTCTGGATATTAAACCCTTATCAGATATATGATTTGCATATATTTTCTTGCATTCTGTGGCTTGTCTTTTCACTCTATTAAAATGTCCTTTGATAATGTAAAAAAAATAAAATAAAATAAATAAAATAAAATGTCCTTTGATGCACAAAAGTTTTTAATTTTGAAGTCCAAAATGGTAGCTTACAGTATAGTTGGGGAGGCTATATCTCTATATATACAATATCTATCTCTTTCTATCTGTCTATCTATGATTTAATAATTACTTGGAGATGGGAAAGGGAAAAATTGAAATAGTTAGTTTAAAAAAATTCCAAAGGTAGGGCGTTTTGGGGATTGTTACAGAGGTAGAGTGAATTTAGGTTCCAGGTTTAGGATGAAGAATACTGATATTAAAATGCAAAGGCAGGAATGAGTAAGCTATCTGGGGACAGTGAGAGGACCAGCCTGACTAAATGAGAGTGTATGTGAGGGAGAGCACTGGTGAATATGTGGGGAGGGGCTAAATTATGTAGGCTTTTTAAATAACTAGGCAAAGGAATGTGCACTTGATTTAGTAGATAGTAGGACAGCCTTTAAAGTGTTTAAATGACATGGTTAATTTTTTTCTAGCAGAGGAGTAGAGAACTGGTGTAGGTAGGATGGTCTAGGAGAGGATGTGGGAACAATTATTAGAGCAGGGAAATTGATTCCGTTTTCATAGGACTTCCCTGGGTGGGTGGGGGGAAGCAGTAGATCTTTGCCCTGTGTCCCATACAAGACTGAGGTATTTCCCAAAACTTCTTATTGAAATTCACTGTTAGAAAGTGCTCTGAAATAAATGAGACCTATGAGGATATGAAAAGGGATCAACTAGAAATAAAGAATACATTGTCTGAAATAAAAAAAATATTATACAGAGTCCTAAAAACAGAATGGAAGATCACAAGAATCAAGTCAAAGATTTGGAACACAAAGAGCCAGAGGACACTCCTCCGCAGAAGCAAGAAGACAAGAGAATCCAGAAAGTTGAAGATAGTGTAAGAAACCTCTGGGACAGCATCAAGCGAACCAACATCAGAATTATGGGGGTCTCAGAAGATGACAGAGAACAAGATATCGAAAACATACTGAAAGAAATAGTGACAGAAAACTTCCCCCACCTGGTGAAAGAAATAGACTTACAAGTCCAGGAAGCACACAGAACCCCAAGCAAAAGGAACCCAAAGAGGACCACACCAAGACACATCATAATTAAAATTCCAAGAGCATAAGACAAAAATAGAATACTAAAAGCAGCAAGAGAAAAGCAGTTAGTTACCTATAAAGGAGCACCCATACGATTGTCAGCTGATTTCTCAACAGAAACCATGCAGGCCAGAAGGGACTGGCAAGAAATATTCAAGGTGATGAATAAGAAGAATCTACAGCCAAAAATACTCTACTACCCAGCAAAGCTATAACTCAGAACTGAAGACCAGATAAAGAACTTCACAAATAAAAAAATAAAAAAATAAAAAACTGAAGGAATTCATCACTGCAAAACCAGAATTATATGAATTGATGAAGGGGGTTCTTCAGGAAAAGGAAGAAAATAAAGATAAAAATTATGAACAACAAATATGTAACTATCAACAAGTGAATCTAAAAACCAACAGAATTAAAAAACCTGATGAACAATATTAACTGTTGAATATAATAGAATCAGAGGTATGGAAGGGGAGTGGACTGACGATTCTCTGGGAAAAGAGGAGTGGGGGTGTGCAGGAAGAGACTGAACATAAACTGTGCACCTATGGATGAGGACAATGGGGGGGGGGCAGAGGGTGGGGTGGGAACCTGGTGGAGGGGGGAAAAATGAGGAACTTTTATAATAATATGAACAATAAAGATTTATTTAAAAAAAGAAAAAAAAAGAAAGTGCTCTGGACTTAATACTCTATGTGATTTTGCCCCAAACTCAACCGGACCCCCTAATCTTTTGTGTAAATGGCATAAAATTCCCACTTTTGGCTCTGCTTTGGTTTGGCACTCTATCTAGATTGCCTCACTGTGGTGCCATGTTTGCAAAACATCCAAGCTAGAGATAAGGCTATAATTTTAGTTTCCTTGTTTTTGCAGAAGGTCAACCTCTTCTAAAGCTATTAGTGGAATTGTCGACTTTTTTTTTTTTTCTTTAAAGGTACATGAACAATGGGAGGCATTGCATTTGACCTTTAGGATCTTCTCCCTACTTCTCCCTGTCCTCCACTAGATGCTAAGTACTTTCTCTTCATTCATTGCTTTCCCACAACAGCTGGAAATTACCTTTGATGCACACAAGTGGTTCAGGATGCTCAGTTCCAGACAGATATGCCGAATCTTGCTAGCTGACATTTGGAAGGGCAAAGAGTGTCCTGTGTGCTGGGATCAGGGGAGATGCAAGGACACCCGTGAGCATTCCAGAGCACAGTGTTGGACAATGGCATTGAGGAGCCTTTGGAGTGATTTCCCCGTGGTCAGAAGCTGCCAGCATTTTTACCCTCCCTTCCTGGCCTCACACTCCCAACACTGGAATTTCTTCATATGACTACCATGTTTGGTTTTCAACCAAGACAAACAAAGAAAAGGGATTTGTTTTTTTGTCTGCTTTTGCTGAATGGAATCTCTTGGTTCTACTTACTGGTCATGCCTTAGGCTCTGTGGGGCTGGTTAGGACATTAAGCTCTGAGCACATAGGACTCCTAGCTTTACTGAATCCTTTTCCATACCCTGAGTAGAAACTTCATCCTTCCCCTTACCCCCAAAGCCCTTCAATCTACAGCCAATTCCCAGCTAATATTCTACCCACAAATTGTTATTTCAGTTAAACTTTCCCAAACTGGAGCATTCTTACCAAATATTTTGGGCTTCCTCACAACCTAGTTATCTTCTTATCTGCATGCTTTTCTGGTATAATTTTAAAGTAGTGAAAAATCTCCCCTTGTTTTAAAGGGTGCACAGTGAGCTCAGCTCCCTAAGGGATGATGCAGAAATCTGCATACCTAATTCCAGCAACCCCAGAGTTTCAGGTAAAATTTCTGAGAAACCTTTGTGTTTTGGTTGAGGTGTGTGTGTGTGTGTGTGTGTGTGTATGTGTGTTTTCACCATTTCCTCCCTTAACTGAAAATCATGAAGAACAAGAAAAGGGATTGTGAATCATAATCATTAAAAATAACATCCACACACAAACACAAGGAGAGGCTTTGCACTTCCCATCTCTGACCCGGGGCTCAGGAGGCAGAGGCGACTCCAGGTGAGTAAATTCACAGATGCCTGTGCCCATCCGGAACAGTCCCTGAGGGTCATTAGAAACTGTCAAGTGGGGGCGAGGGGGCCGGTCTTCCGTTTTGGTTTTCTTTCAGAACTTTTGTCCAGGAAGCATCCTGTTCTGTTATATGCATACCCACCGCTGTCTTCAAATTGCTAGGTGGAGAACAATACTCAAGTGCCTGGCATTGGGTTAGAAATAGAAATAGCCCTGGTCCTAAAAAATAAAAAATAAATAAAAAATAGTCCTGGTCCTAAGCTATTACAGGGACAGTTGCTGAGTCCTCCCCCACAAGACCTTCTGTGTTTTGCCTCTCCTTCTCCACCCCACTCAGAGCCTCAGAGCTTAACCCCTTCCTCACTCGACAGTTGAAGGCATTTTTAACTGTTTTCAAATACACCCGTGATCCTTGCACATATGTATTAAGCAGCTCTTTACCCTCCAGAACCCCAGACATAAAGCTGAGCATCTTCCTCCTCCCTCACACACTTGGAGCCTCTCAGAGGGAGCTTGAGCCTAGTCTTCAAGAGAGGGACTCAATGGGGTGGAGGCTGTGCTCCTTGGGGATTTTCATTTTGCAGGCTCTATTGAGAAGCAGTTTTCCTGCTTCTAGAAAACAGCGATCCACTATAGCTATAATCATGACTAGAAAATCACTTTCTCTCAAAAACTCTATTTCCAGGTTTTTGCTATGTGTTTTTTTTTTTTAAATGGCCTTGCAGGTAGGTGGTCCCCAGTGCATCCTGTCTCCTAAGGAAGAAGCCTGGGGCTGTTTAGTAAAATGTCACTCTGCTCTCTTAGAGTTACCTGAGTTATCTTGGAGGAACTGAGGTAGGGCCTTAGGGACTGCAGGGACTGAAGATTCTTGTTTTCATCACCTCACCAGTTGGTGAAGTCTTGTGTAGGTTCATTGCATAGACAGACCTAGAAGACAGGATTCCTGGATTGTGTGCCCACTTTTCCCTTAATGAGACCTATGCTACTTCCATCCAGAGAGCATCACACAATGGCCAATGGAGCCAGGCTACCTAGGTTCAAATCCCACATTGTGTGACCTGCTTGCTCATTACATAAACTTGGGCAAGTTTTTGAATAATGGTACCTACCTTAAAGGATTATTGTGAGGATTAAATAAGTTAATACATGCAAGGTGTGTATTAGGATAGGGACTGGCATATATTATAACAATATTGTGATTATGTTTTTTATTTCCTTGTCTGTAAAATGAGGAAATGCTATTATGAATGTTATGCTGGGTCATTCTGCACTACGACAGAAAAAGTACCCATTGTGGACTGAACTCTTACTGTACGTGACGTTATGAGGAGAGGAAAAGAAAGACATGGCTCTTACCCACTGGGAGGGGAAGGGAGACTGTGCAGAGAGATTCTCAGAGAACGTGCAAAAAGGAAAAGAATTCCACACAGTGCTTTCCCTTATGTGACTGTCATGACACAGAGTTGTCAGAGGCTTGGGGACCTATGGTCACTTCTCCACCTAGAACAGCATATCAGCGCAGCCTGACGATAAAAGAAAGCTGTGGAGGGACCATGCAGGCCTCTGACATGCTCGGCCTTGATCTTTGGATGGCAGCTCCCTGCCTTAGTGATTGGCCTGTCCCTGTGGCCAATCCTCACACCCAAGGCCTCCTATTTGGCACAAGGTGTGGAAGGACTTGACCTGGCCAACTGGGATTTTGGCAGGGGTCTCTTGAGCACCTGATGGGCTCCAGAAATCTGCCCCAGGGGATTCTGGCTCCACCTCCAGGCCTGGCCCACACTCAGAGCCCATGCGCTGGGCACAGTGGTACCATCTTTAGTGTGCCTGTGGCATGCTGTGGCTGTGCCCAGCAAGTTGCCTCCACTTCTCTTGATCCCCCAGCCCATTCTAGGCTTTTATGATCAGAGTCCTTCTTGCTTTATCTTATGCATCCAAACCCTACCCTATCTATCACGTCCACTTAATCTTACTTTCTCTGTGCGACAGCAGCACGGTCATGGGTAAACCTGAGGGGACAAGGTGAAGGATTAGAAAAGACAAACAAGAGGATAAAGCTGGGACTAGGGGGGACTCTGCCCTCTGATTAGAGAGACAGTGCCACAGCCTGCAAGCTGAGTCTTTATTTTATAGCCAGATTCCACTGGACAAAGTAAGGGCATGGTCAAGACATTTACAATGTTCTCATGAATTTTGAATCTACTCAATTACATGCACCAGATCAAGCTTTGTTTACTTGCTGCACCTTCCGCAGTTCATATCACTTAACCACGTGGGACCACTGGTTTGGATCACAAGGTCAAGCTTACAATTATAGCTCATTAGTCTGAGACTTGAACCTGTCCAAACACTATAGCCATTCTCCACACTTCTCCATGAAGCATTCCCTGATTGTCCAGCTTACACCACCAGCCTCACTGTCTTAAGTTTCCTAATTACTTATTCCATTTATTTGAAAATAAGAAATGTGCTTAATTATAGGTCCCAAAAATATTCAAGTACCTGTTTGGTTGCAAGTCATGGGGGTGTGGGCAATGGGGACAGATCATCAGTCAAGAAACTTAAACTCTAAGGGGGTGGCCTGAAAATTTCCCTGTTGTCATATGTTCCTTTTCAGGTCTGATGTTAATATTTAACTAAATAATGATGATGATGATGATGATGATAAGTAAACAAATCCTTGCTATGTGTCAGTACTGTACTAAAAACTTACCTAAGTTATCTGATGCCTTAATAGTAGTATTCTTATAAGGTAAAGTTGTTATTAATCCTACTTTACAGTTAAAGCAACCAAGATGCAGAAAGGTTCAATATTGTCCAATGTCAGCATTTGAGTCAGGCAATCTGACCCCATTGTTCATATCTTAATCATGTGCCATATTTTTCCTGAGTTTCACCTTTACTGTTTCAGTAGAGTGAAACTCTTTGAAGGCAGGCATCTGTCTCATCCTTCCCCACAACCCCTGCAGCCTTTAATACATCCTCGCCTTGCAGGAAGGAGGCAGTCATAGGTAGTAAGTGCTCAATCAGTATTCAGGGATGCCATAGTTAACAGGCTCTGCAGCAGAAAGGAGAAGGGATTGTCCAAGGTTTCTTAGTTCCGGGGTAACAGAATTGGGAAAAGAGACCAGAGTCCAGGGCCCAAAAACTGCTGTGTACTACCTCTTACTCTCACTGCCTTCTTGCTAATCTAGTTCTTCATCCGTTACCACGGAGCATCCTGCTGTCATTAGGAAGGCCTCTTCAAACCATGGACATTAAGAACAGGCCCTTGCCCTAGTGGATAGAGAGTTGACCTGCAGTGTTCAATTCTAGTCAAGGGCACGTACCTTGGTTGCAGGCTCTTCCCCAGTCTAGAGGTCAGGGCTCATGCAGGAGACAACCAATCAATGTGTTTCTCTCACATTAATGTTTCTCTCTGTCTTTCTCTCTCTCTTCCACTCTCCCTAAAAATCAACGGAAAAATATCCTCGGGTGAGGATTAACAACAACCAACAACAACAAAATAGGTCCAGAAGTATTAGTGACTTCAGATTAATTCTTACCAGGACCAGGGAGTCCCAAACATTACCTAGAACTGAGAATGTTCTGTCTTGAGGACAAACTCATCCTGTCTTCAAATCTACCAGCCTCCAACTTCCCTGCGGTGGGCATTTTCTCTGTTTTCCACGTCCGGCACGGAAAGCGACAGGTTCCTGAGGGGAGGAGCTAGGGATTAAGAAATTAGAGAAAGAAAGAGACAAGAGTCAGAAATAGATTCATAAAGCTGGGCGCTAGGTGGGCGCCATCGCTCTGATGGAGAAACAGTCACACTCACCACAGACAACACAGCACATTTATTGGCTTCCAAAGAGGAGTTTAAGGTCAAGAGGAGTTTCCGGTGTGCCCAGATCCTATTCAGCAAGACCTGGGTAAGCTCCTCATTTTTTGGTACAAGATTTAGCATATCAAGACCTGAGTAAGTCAAGGTCTTATTTGTTCCTCATTCCAAGCACATGGATAAAGATAAGAAATCAGTACTGATAACAGGATTCTGCCAGTGCCCTCGGGCTCAGCTGATAAGATTTAAAAGAATGTCCCTGTGCCTTCCCAGGCGGCTCTCTACGCTTCCCTCAGAATCTCTCTCAATATTTGTCAAGTTAGTGATTGTGGGTATGGTTTTTTTTTTGTTTTGTTTTTTTTACTTTTCTTTATTTCAATTTTTTAATTAGCATTCATATTCAATATTATTTTTGTATTATTCAGGTATATAGCATAGTAGTTAGATAATCATATACTTTACAATGTGAGCCCCAATATTTTCAGTACCCACCTGGCACCATTCATAATTATTAGAATATTTTGACTATATTCCTTATGCTGTATTTTACATCCCTGTGACTATTTTATAACTACCAATATGCACTTCTTAATCTCTTCACCTTTTTACCCAGTCCCCCAATTTGCCTCTGACAAATATTGGTCTGTTCTTTTTGTCTATGAATCTGCTTCAACTTTGTTTTGTTTTGTTAATCCTCACCCAAGGATATTTTTTCCATTGATTTTTAGAGAGAGTGGAAGGGAGAGGGAGAGACAGAGAGAAATATCAGTATGAGAGGGACACATCAATTGGTTTCCTCCTGAATGCAGCCCAACCAGGGCTGGGGAACCTGCAACCAAGGTATGTTCCCTTGACTGGAATCAAACCTGGGACCTTCAGTCCACAGGCCAATGCTCTAGCCACTGAGACAAATAGACTAGGGCAATCTGCTTCAATTTTGTTTGTTTAATTTTTTTTTAGAGTCCACATATAAGTGAAACTACCAGTATATGATATTTTATTGTGGTTTATTTCTGCATCTTATTTCCTCCGCTATACAGCAAGTTATTGAAAGCAGAATTCAAATTGTATTTAATCTTATAGTTTTCTATATCCTAGTACATTTTTATGCTCCCATATGTTCCCCAAATCTTAGTACTCTAATTAGGTGCTCCAAAAATATTTCTTGGATAAGGTAATTTTAAAAATCAGACAATAAGTTAGTAACCAATGTAACCCCAATAAATTTAATTTAAATAAATAAATAAAAATAAAATAATGACATTAAAATCACCAAAAAATAAATAAAAGAATAATTAGATGGAAAAATTTGAGTATGTATGACCTCCTCTTCAATTCTCCTTTGAACTGTTCATACTCTTACATAACCTGTAAAGATATCTAGACAACTATAATTTTAGGGTCCTAGAAAGCCAACCTAGAATTGAGGTAAAATTATAGAGAACAATGAATCATTTGCATAGTACATTGTAGAGGAAAAGGATGAAACATAGAGTTCAGGATGGGGGTAGAGGAAAGGCTGTAATAGCAATGAATTTCATTCTTTGAAATATTGCCCAACATCCTGGTATTTAGGGAATTTACCTCCGTTGTCTGATACACTGTGGCCTCCCTAGCCAACTCTGGCAGCCTGGGCTCTCACTGTAGAGCTGTTGGTTTTTCCCTGAGTCCCTCCAGACCTATAATACTACCCTCTCATTCATCTCAGGGCCCATGTTGGGTGCAAACTAAGTGTAGGGAAAGGTGCTCTTGGGACAACTGAGCTTGGACTCAAATTGATAAATAACCACTGAGCTTTTAGATTCAGAACTATGCCTTGTGTGCATGGGAAATATCTCCCTCTCTCCCCCGCCCCCCCCCCCTCCTAATTTGGGTTCATTCATTCAGAGACACAGCATTGAGCAGGCTGAGCGGGCTGACTCAGCAAGCAGATGAGCCCTAGGAAAAGGTGTCATACCATAGGATCTGAAGGTAAAAGGAGAGCTGCCCCAGTGGCTAGGTGGGAGGATGGGTAGAGCTGGGAGATTCTTCCCAGAGATGAGAGCAGTTTTGCAGTTGAAGGACTACAGGTCTTCAGGCCCACAGTTCTTAGGATGGAAACTTATAAAAATAGCACTGTCAGGAGGGACTCTTCACTCTCCAGCGGACTCTGTTCCTAAGCCTCTCTCTTGGTTCCTTTCACCTCACACCAGCTACCCAAAGAACCTAGCCTTGAGGCAGTCCCCCTTAGAGTATGCAGCCTTTTCCGTCCAGTCTCCCAAAGTCTAAGAAGCCTATAATAGCAGTTGGATAAGGGGACACCAAAGGTCTCATTAAAAGTCGTGTGGGAATTTTAGAGCTTACATCTATGGAAAACCAAGAGAAGATAAATTTAAACTTATTGAAAGCAACCAACACAAAAGCAGGATTTCTTAACCTGGGGCCCATAAATCACTAGGGAGGTCTTTGGCAGATTCAGGAGTGGACAAACCACTGAAATTGTGTGTAAAATTATATATAATATGTATGTGTAGGTGTGGCTGCATTTCTTCTGGAACAGGGTTCATAATCTTAATCAGTTTCTTTAAAAAAAAAAAAAAAAAATATATATATATATATATATATATATATATATATATATATATATATATAGTTTTTATTGATTTTAGCGTGAGAGAGGAAGGGAGAGGGAAAGAGATAGAAACCTCCATGAAAAAGAAACATCAACATGGATTGGCTGCTTCTTGCACACCCCCTACTGGGAATCAAGCATGCAACCCGGGCATGTGCCCTGGCCAGGAATTGGACTGGCAACCTCTTGCTGCATGGGTCAATGTTCAACCACTGAGCCATACCAGCTGGGCTATCAGATTCTTCATTGGATTCTACCAGAGTTCCTCAAAAGTTAAACAAAACAAAGAAATTTTCTAGAGGATAAAGGTAGGAACAGGGTGTCAGGGGAATTTAGAGGACATTCCAGCTCCTCCCACTTCCCATGTGTTGCAAACATGTGCGCAGTGGGAAACAATGACAAATGCAGGGAAGTGACTGGTCACTTTTTAAAAAGACCTTCAAATGCTGAGAATTTCCCGGATTTTCTTAGAAAAGTTGTCCTCCTCTCCTTAAGTAGCACAATTCTTTCTTACCTGTCCCTCTTCCTTCCATTTTGTCCTCGCTGCTACAGGAGATCCTATTCTAGCAGCTGCTACTCGTTCAAGGGGATGAAGGTTAGAAGGGAAGAGATGCTTGTTTGTCAGTCTGGAATGAAGAGCCAGGGTCCAGGAAAGGTTGAGTATGTCGTTTATGTGATTCCGAAGTTACCAAAACTTTCAAGCTTACAACACTTCAAAACACCTTTGGATTCCTCCAAGGAATTGTAATTAGACTTTCAGTATCCACGTAGGAAAAATTGCATGCTGATAAAAAGCTACTATGCATTAAATAA